GTAGTGACAAAATCTCTCAGCATTTGCTTGTCTGTAAAGGATTTTATTTCTCCTTCACTTATGAAGCTCAGTTTGGCTGGATATGAAATTCTGGGTTGAAAATTCTTTTCTTTAAGAGTGTTTAATTCCCCTACTCTCTTCTGGCCAATAGATCTGCTGTTAGTCTGATGGGCTTGCCTTTGTGGGTAACCTGACATTTCTCTCTGGCTGCCCTTAACATTTTTTCCTTCATTTCAACTTTGGTGAATCTGACAATTAGGTGTCTCGGGGTTGTTCTTCTCAAGGAGTATCTTTGTGGTGTTCTCTGTATTTCCTGAATTTGAATGTTGGCCTCCCTCGCTAGGTTGGGGAAGTTGTCCTGGATAATATCTTGAAGAGTGTTTTCCAACTTGGTTCCATTCTCCCTGTCACTTTCAGGTACACCAATCAAATGTAGATTTGGTGTTTTCACATAGTCCTATATTCTTGGAGGCTTTGTTCATTTCTTTTTACTCTTTTTTCTTTAAACTTCTCTTCTTGCTTTATTTCATTCGTTTGATGTTCAGTCACTGATACCCTTTCTTCCACTTGTTTGAATTGGCTATTGAAGCTTGTGCATGCATCACATAGTTCTCATGCCATGGTTTTCAGCTCCATCAGGTCATTTAAGGTCTTCTCTACAGTGTTTATTTTAGTTAGCCATTCATCTAATCTTTTCCAAGTTTTTTAGCTTCCTTGTAATGGGTTCAAACATCCTCCTTTATCTTCGAGAAGTTTATTATTACCAACCTTCTGAAGCCTACTTCTGTCAGTTCATCAAAATCATTCTCCGTCCAGCTTTGTTCCATTGTTGGCAAGGAGCTGCAATCCTTCGGAGGAGAACAGGTGCTCTGGTTTTTAGAATTTTCAGCTTTTCTGCTCTAGTTTCTCCCCATCTTTGTGGTTTTATCTACCTTTGGTCTTTGATGCTGGTGACCTACAGATGTGGTTTTGGTGTGGATGTACTTTCTGTTGATGTTGATGCTATTTCTTTCTGTTTGTTAGTTTTCCTTCTAACAGTCAGGTCCCTCAGCTGCAGGTCTGTTGGAGTTTGCTGGAGGTCCACTCCAGACCCTGTTTGCCAGGTATCACCAGTGGAGGCTGCAGAACAGCAAATATTGCAGAACAGAAAACATTGCTGCCTGATCCTTCCTCTGTAAGCTTCGTCCCAGAGGGGCACCTGCCTGTATGAGGTGTCAGTCAGTCCCCACTGAGAGATGTCTCCCAGTTAGGCTACATGGGCTTCAGCGACCCACTTGAGGAGGCAGTCTGTCCTTTCTCAGAGTTCAAAAATCATGCTGGGAGAACCACTGCTGTCTTCACAGCTGTCAGACAGGGACGTTTAGGTCTGCAGAAGTTTCTGCTGCCTTTTGTTCCACTATGCCCTGACCCCAGAGGTGGGGTCTATGGAGGCAGCAGGCCTTGCAGAGCTGTGGTGGGCTCCATCCAGTTCAAGCTTCCCTGGCTGCTTTGTTTACCTACTCAAGCCTCAGCAATGGCAGATGCCCCCTCCCCCTGCTAGGCTGCTGCCTTGCGGGTCAACCTCAGACTGCTGCACTAGAAGTGAGCAAGGCTCCGTGAGCATGGGACCCACTGAGCCAGGCGCAGGATATAATCTCCTGGTGTGCCATTTGCTAAGATCATTGGAAAAGCACAGTATTTGGTTGGGAGTGTCCTGATTTTCCAGGTACAGTCTGTCATGGCTTCCCTTGGCTAGAAAAGGGAAATCCCCCAACCCCTTGTGCTTCCCCGGTGAGGCGATGCCCCACTATGCTTTGGCTCACTCTCCATGGGCTACACCCACTGTCCAACCAGTCCCAGTGAGGTGAACCACGTACCTTAGTTGGAAATGCAGAAATCACCATCTTCTGCATCGACCACGCTGGGAGCTACAAACCAGAGCTGTTCCTATTTGGCCATCTTGGAGTTATTATGCTTTTGAATGTCTTCTCCACACTTATCTTTTCTCTTTCTCCCAGTGGGTCTGCATAGTATGTCCTTTCTCCTCTTTTTTGTCTGATCTGAACTGACCTTCTTTTCTTCATGCAAGGTCTCTTCCTCTTCCATCACTACACACTCTCAACCTCTGTATATACCTCTTCTCGGTTCCTAAGCTCCTACTAAAAATGGCTCTGGCTTTTTATATTCTTATGGTGAAATAAAATATATTACTTCTTTCTCTTCCATTTCCTTTTTCCACATTAACTTGTTTGTGATAAAACCAAAGGAATGCTGGGTTATGAGTTAAATATAGAAGCTCTACACCTAACCCTAATACTAATTAAAATGTCACTTTGGGGCCAGGTGTAGTGGCTCATGTCTGTAATCCTAGCACTTTGGGAGGCTGAGGCAGGAGGACTGTTTGAGGCCAGGAGTTTGAGACCAGCCTGGTCAGCATCACAAGACCTCATCTCTACAATAAAAGAAAGTCACTGTTTATTTATTTTTATTTATTTATTTAATTAATTTATTTTTTTATTTCTTTGAGATGGAGTGTCGTTCTGTCTCCCAAGCTGGAGTGCAGTGGTGTGGGATCTTGGCTCACTGCAACCTCCACCTCCTGGGTTCAAGTGATCTGCCCATCTCAGCCTCCCAAGTAGCTGGGATTACAGGCACGCACCACCATGCCTGGCTAATTTTTGTATTTTTAGTGGAGGTGAGTTTTCACCGTGTTGGCCAGGCTGATCTTGAGCTCTTGACCTCAAGTGATCCATCCACCTCAGCCCCGCAAAGTGCTGGGATTATAGGGGTGAGCCACTGCAACTAGCCCAAAAGTCACTGTTTAGAAATGTCATTTGACCTGTCTGGATTTCAGTTTCTTGATTTGTAAAATTGAAGGATTAGTGAAGTCAACCTAAAGCATTTCTCTGTCTGTGGTTGGGATTACAATGACCCTAATATCTCATTTCAAATGCAGAATTTTCAGGTCTCTTGACTTCTTGCTCCTCCTATTAGTTTCCTGCCGTTAGTTTCCTCTCTGATATCCTTCATATCTAAACTATTTCCTATGAGGGTTTATTTGTTTTTTGTTTTGTTTTGTTTTTTGTTTTGTTTTGTTTTGTTTTTATCTATAAGGTTGCCTGTTTTCCTCCTAAACTACTTATACTTCTGTCATTCATTTAGTCCAAGCTTGTCCAACCTACAGCCTGCAAGCCACATGGAGCCCAGAACAGCTTTGAATGTGGCCCAATACAAATTTGTAAACTTTCTTAAAACATTATGATAATTTTTTTTTTTAAACTAACACTTGTTAGTGTTGCTGTATTTTATGTGTGGCCCAAGACAATACATCTTCCAATGTGGCCCAGGAAAGCCAAAAGATTGGACACCCCTGATTTAGTCCATCAATTCGATACTGATCTTACTACCCAGACTTTATCACTTTGGCTCAAACTCCTTTTTTTTCCCCTCTATGATGATCTAAGATAGATAATCTGTTTGGGGTTCATGATAGCTAGCATTTTTTTCTGTTCCTTTTTATTCCCTTTCTTGCTATTTATTCTTCTTATTACAACAAGGAGAACCTTTCTCTAGAAGATGTTACAAGATCTTTTGGGAAAGCTTGTCCCCTCCCCTGATGTTAATTAGTCCTACATTAGTCACCTAACTTCTTTTTTTTTTTTTTTTTTTTTTTTTTTTTTTTTGGAGATGGAGTCTTGCTCTCTCACCAGCCTGGAGTGCAGTGGCACCATCTCTTGGCTCACTGTAACCTCTGACTTCCTGGTTCAAATAATTCTCCTGCCTCAGCCTCCCGCATAGCTGGGATTATAGGCCCATGTCCCTATGTCCAGCTAATTTTTGTATTTTTGGTAGAGATACGGTTTCACCATGTTAGTCGGGATGGTCTCGATCTCCTGACCTCGTGATCCACCTGCCTTGGCCCCACAAAGTACTGGGATTACAGGCGTGAGCCACCGTGCCCAGCCTAGTTACCTAACTTCCTGCCCCCTACCCACCAGACCCTTTAAGGTCCCTGCCCTAGAAAGCCGACCCAAGGATTAGGCACTTAGAATGAGAAATCCACATCCTGAGAGTTTTGACATCTCCGGCCTCTCTTTGCTATCTTTATTCCATTCTATTCTCTGCATTCCACATTAGCATATAACATCTTAAAAATTGCAGGTGTAAACTGTATAATTTCCAAGGTTCATTATAATGCTAACATTCTACTTGTATGTAGGAATGCTGGTGTGGTAGTACACATAAGGAATATATGTTGTAGTGTGCCATATTCCAATGTGTGAATCTCTCTATATGTTCTTAGTGGAGTTCCTTATTCTTCTACTTTCTATTTGCTGTTCAAGTTCCTTGAGAAAACAATACAACAGAATGTTCCTTCCAACTGCATGGTTTTCATAACTGGACAGTCTATTCTAAGTCCCTGCCTCCTTTCTTACCCTTGTTAACTTGTCCCTGAAGAAACTGTGGTGAGGATTACAATTAATCCAAGAATCCAAGTTACCCAGGCTGAACCTGAGAGCTTTTTACCTCCCAGTGCTCCTTTAATTTTGAGGAAGTCGTTGGGTTAGCCATTCCTGTTTACTTGAAGTTCTTCCTTGACCCCTCTTGCTCCCTACAGCAAAAGACATTCCTTGAGAAAAATGCCTAAAGTCCAAATATCCTCTTCTACTGGTTCTCCCATTTTAAAACATTATTACTTTTGCTACAAATCCACCTTGTTCTTGTCATGTCCGTACAAAGTAGGGTTTCTCTGTGTATGTGTGAAGTGAGCGGGTAGAAGGAAAGGGGAAGGTGGGTATAGGAAGGGAACTTGAACACTACAGAGTGAAGAATTCCACTCCTTTTTCCTAGTCTGTTTACTTCACTCACCATTATTGTCTCTATTTGGATTTCTCAGATAATTCTTTCCTCCTCCACTCCTTCCTCCTCCTCCTCCATTTATCCCCACACTGAGAACAGTATGAACCCTAAGTCTGTATTATTCAAGTCTCTCAGTTCTGGTTTTAGACTGACTGATTTAGCTCTCTCAACAGGACAATCATCTATCTCTCCTTGGTGTATGTGCTTGGCCATGTGATCAAGTCCTTGGGTGCCTTACCAATACTGGGAGGACAAGTGGTACACACGTGAGTAAAATCATGGAATCAACTAAACTACTTTTCTCAAACATTCGTTACAAATGATTTTCTATTTTCTTACCAGAGATGTCCCTTTATTTCCAATCTACAGTTTTACTACAAAAGAGGTTAAGAAAAACAGTCTTATAACCAGTTGAACTCTTTCCTGCTTTATCTGAGCTCATCTGTTTTTGGGACTTGTAGAATGCCTAGTTAGTATCCTCTTCATATGCTTGAAAATAAACAAAACCTTCACACCCTACATATTCCCTCACCTTTTTATTCATCCATGCAACTATACTTTACCAGGGTTAAAAAAAAAAGTCTATAATGTTTCCTTATAATTAATTGTAGAAGTCATACTCAAAGCTTTGAATATTTACATTTATGTGTAGTTCCATATATTTCAGTTGCTATTGATGTTTATGGGATCAGAGGCATTTGATAAATTCTGATGTCTGTTTGTTCAGTCAGTAGAGAGGATTACAGCTGTTCACGAAGCAGTTTATATGTATTCATGTTATAATGCACCTGTGTGCCTGTGTACATGTATTTATCCTATGAGTTAGAAATTTTGTTTGTTTGTTTTTAGACAGAGTCTTGCTCTGTTGCCCAGGCTGGAGTACAGTGGGGTGATTTTAGCTCACTGAAGTCTCTGCCTCCTGGGTTCAAGTGATTCTCCCACCTCAGCCTCCCGAGTAGCTGGGATTACAGGTGCCCGCCACCACACCTGGCTGATTTTTGTATTTTTAGTAGAGACAGGGTTTTACCACGTTGACCAGGCTGGTCTTGAACTCCTGACCTCAGGTAATCCACCCGCCTCGGCTTCTCAAAGTGCTGGCGTAGCCTCTGCACCTGGCCTTGATATTTAATAAATACTACTTTCTTATTGGTGTCCCGTCAAATATCTTTGACACTGTTGCTATTAGTTATGATGAATTTGAACATTTTATATATTTTTTAAAATTTTGGTGAGGATATGTGAGGTCAGGGTCCTTAAAAGGTCTTTCTGTTGAAGTACTCCTTTGACTAAAACAAGATTGGGAACCAGTGTGTTAACTTTGGAGTTCCTTCAGTATCTGTTTCTATCGGATGCTCGTAAGGGGTAAATGGAACTACCAGGGATGAAATCTTCCCACGTAATGCATACTTTCTTGCAGAAGCCAAAGGATCATAAATATGGTAAGTGCCCATGAATACCTCCTAGGAATAAAGGCAAATGGAAAGTACCCATGGGGTAGAAATGTGAAGGGAATCTTTGCCCTTGTACACATTTTTTCCCCTCTGCAGCTATGTAGTCCATCTCTACGGGTGCATTTAGTATCAACCTGGTTGGCATTCTCACCTCTTCATTTCAGAGTCCTATCATTAGTCGGCCTGAGTCTGATAGCTTTGGGGACAGGAGGCATCAAACCCTGTGTGGCAGCTTTTGGTGGAGACCAGTTTGAAGAAAAACATGTAAGAATCCTGTTATTTTGTATTTTCAAGAATATAGAGCCAGCATTAACAGTGGTACCTGGCAGGTAGCCATTTGCCAAGATTGAAGTAATCTACTGATCAGATCTTACCTGAGCAGTTGTATTCAATGCTGGATACTGGTCATTAATAGTGAGGAAAACTGAAACAGTTTCAAAGGAAAGAGACCAGGGTGGTAGATTAACTAAAAGGCATGTCTTATGCGGAAAGGTTGGTTAATCTGGATACGAACTAAGGAGAATACTATAGCTGCTTATAGATGCTGGAAGGATGTCAGTGATTAAACCTGAGACCAATGAGTGAAAGCCTCCAAGAAGCCAGTGTTTTGCCTGATGGGTGGAAAAACTTCAAACAGTTGTTAAGTTTACTCTAACTTGAGGTGTTTAGGAAGAGATATGGTAAGCACTTTGGGAATGGAAGGTGATGAGTAGTATAGAGATGATTTAAGCATCTCATTTTGAGATTCCATGAAAGGGGAAAATGACCAATTGCAAGGAAACATAATGAATGTCTATAGATGAATTTCCCTGGCTGATCATTCCCTCTCTTCCTAAATGCTTTCCATTACCAGTAGTGAAAAATAAATGGGCCTCTATGAGAAAGCAGTGACAAATAGGCAAGGAAGTAGTCTATTTCTAGATCTTTCAACATTTCTGGCTTCCTCACTTTTGTTTCCAGTTTTCAGTTTTGTCTGTCTTCATGTATCCATTCCGTCTTCTCTAACTGTTTATCTTTTTTCCAGTTTCTCTTTTTCCCCCTCAACACTTCTCTCTCTCTCTCTCTTTCCCGCCCCCCACTCTCTCTCTCTCTCTTTCCTTTTCCCTCTTCTACCCTGATATAATGCCTATTATCTCTTTCTGCCTCTGCTATGCTGTCCTGTCTTCTAGTGTTTTTCCCACCTTTCAGGCCATTTGGGTTATTTTATACTCTTTATCTGTTCAAGAGTCCATAGATCATAATTGCTTGCTGACTTCGGAGAAAGAACCAACTTTTGGCAAGTGGGACCCTATGTATGATGAACTATACAAATTAGATGAGTGGAATAAGGTTTAAATTGAAACCAGGAGAGGAAACAAAACACACTATAAATAGACAATGGGGAAGGACTTGTTGTTCTAATGTGGCAGGGAGAGATCTGGGGTGTCAGAATGAAGCATGTCAGTGTATAATGAATGAAACATCAGCAACTTTATTTGAAAGTTGTTTCATTTGATAACTGCTCCACAAAGATATTTCACTTAGTAGGACGAATCCACCTCCAGGTTTCTACTAGCCACTTCTAAGCCTGCTGATTTCTTTTTAGACTCTCTGGCAGATCTCCCTTAAGCACTAGGTGAACTATCCTGCTTCATTAACAGTTGACTCTACTGTCCTATGTTCTGGTACTATTCCTACCAAACACTCCTACCACAAAATCTATTATTTAACTAAATCAGGCATTCACTTAGTTAATACAGTCAATCAACATTTATCGAGTCCCTAATATATGTCAGATGCTGTGCAAGGTACTGGGGATTACAGAAATTAGTAAGATAAAATTTCTGCTCTAAAGAAACTCACAACATACTGACAAAACAGACATTTATGGGAGGCAGAGGCAGGAGAATGGCTTGAGCCCGGGAGGCAGAGTTTGCAGTGAGCTGAGATTGCGCCACTGCACTCCAGCCTGGGCAACAGAGTGAGACTCCATTTCAGAAAAACAAAAACAAAAACAAAACACACACACACACACACACACACACACACACACACACAAATGCAGACATTTAATGCAAAGACATTAATATTCAAATAGCTATATACAGGACACAGTAGTGGCACTGAAGACAGGAAGATTATTTTTAACCTATGCAAAGGGAGGAAAAGAATGTTAAAGCTGCTCTGGAGTTTGAAAGGTGAATAAATGATTGGGGTCAGCCAGCCATGTTTTTAAATATCTATTAATAATATGAAATTCAGGTATTATGGAGGCAATATCTGAATCTTTCTCTTTGTATGTACCTTCAGCTCTGAATCTGAACATGGAATGGGGCTGGAGCTAGGGGACACATTGCACTGATGATTTATCCTGTTTGTTTCAGGCAGAGGAACGGACTAGATACTTCTCAGTCTTCTACCTGTCCATCAATGCAGGGAGCTTGATTTCTACATTTATCACACCCATGCTGAGAGGTTAGGATTTTTTCTGATGGGAAAAGGCTTTGCTCTGGTCAGCCAAAAAGCTGTTCAAGGCTTTCTCCTGTCCATCGTCTCCTTTTATAAGAGCTTGATAACCTGTGAAAATTTATTTTAGTCTTGATTTGTCTGGCCCAAAGGAAGAATTATGGATTGGGTGATGGGAGGAAAGAGGATGGTTATGTCTATTCTGCAAGCTCAGGTTTATTTGACAACCTGAACTTGTAGAATAAAACATCAAATATTCAAGACTCAGAGTTACTTTCCTCCTCACATCCCATTTTCTTTAGGAGATGTGCAGTGTTTTGGGGAAGACTGCTATGCATTGGCCTTTGGAGTTCCAGGATTGCTCATGGTAATTGCACTTGGTAAGTTCAGTGAAGCAAAGGAAACTAGTAATCATTGATACCTGTCACATGTAAAGCATCATGTAGGCACTTTACACAAGCTGTTTCATTCAATCCTCACACTAGGGCCTATTGGGTAACAGTTATTGTAAGGGTTTCCCCTCAACTTTGGAGGTAGATTCTGAATGAAGTCAGAAACTTTAAGAAAAGTGTCCAAGGTTGCATAGATGCTTTCTGGGGAGCCTTAAAAAAGATCAAACTCTGGGCCAGTCAGGGACTTGGGCATTTCTTAGTATCTCGGGTCATTCTAATGTATACTCAAGGTGGAGATCCACTGCTCTGCACTACAATATATAGGGAAGCAAGGAAGATAACCCTCTTTCAAACTAGTTTACTTCATATGATACTTATTTATCTGGTAATTGGAAAAGATTTAAAATTCTCTAAGCCTTTTAAAACAGCTTCTAGGTTTAGCTATTTCTGCCCTGCTCTGTAGTGCCCCCCCTGGAGTGCCCCCAAAGAGTCTGCCCTTGAGTAAAGAGAATAAGAGGAGGTGAATAAGTAGGTGAAAATTAATGCAACTTAAATCAAGTGGCGTTCTTTTTATCCCTGAGAACCCAGTCCTGGAAGAGAAGAGGGATATGGTGTTCCTTATTTTACACAGCCTGAGGGAAAACTTGGGCATGATTATTTCTAATCATTGACCTGGAAACCTGTTCTCACTCTGAGCCTCAGCGTGACACCCCCCTGGAAGATATCCAGTGCAAACGCATAAAGAGCTCAACAGAGGAAAAACAGCCCAGAGACTCAATGTTCAGTGTATTATCTAACAGGGAGTGGATGGGAGGGCGGTGATAGTAGTACTCAGAATTCCCAATGCCAAGGAAATTTATTATAGGTGAGCTGTGATAATATATTCCCTACTTCCTTCTTCATTCAAAGCCAAATATTTTCCCGAATATTTGCATGATAATAACATTTACATAATAGAGTAATTATGAAGATAAAAAAGAGACGATATAAATGAAATGTTTTATAAATTATGAAATGTTAAGTGCTAGCTGTCATTGTTAGTCAGCAGCTTCAGTTTTCTGGATACTAATCAATAACTCAATTCTCTGATCTTTTACTATAATTAATTTCTTTTTTCTTTTTTTTTTTTTTCCTTTTTTGAGACAGAGTCTCACTCTGTCACCCAGGCTGGAGTGCAGTGGCATGATCTTGGCTCACTGCAAGCTCTGCCTCCTGGCATTCTCCTGCCTCAGCCTTCCAAGTAGCTGGGACTATAGGCACCCGCCACCATGCCTGGCTAATTTTTTGTGTTTTTAGTAGAGACGGAGTTTCACCGTGTTAGCCAGGATGGTCTCGATCTCCTGACCTTGTGATCCACCCGCCTCGGCCTCCCAAAGTGCTAGGATTATAGGCATGAGCCACCGCGCCCAGCCAATTAATTTATTTTTTCATTCAATCATTTATTTAACCAACATTTAATGAACCTGTTGTGTGCCATATTATGTGCTAGGTACTGGGATCACACTGGTGAATTGGATACCTGGAAAGTTCATGTTCCCAAAGAGCTATATAGTTCAGTAGAGAGAGGAAGGCAAACAAGTAAAAGGAATTTACAATATAGTATGATCAGTATTTCCCAGATCAATATAGTATGATCTAGGAAAGTACAGAGAGAGCTATGGGAACCACATAAAAGGAATGTTTAATTAAGACCTTGAGGGACCGGGCACAGTGGCTCACACCTATGGGAGGCCGAGGCAGGAGGATTGCGTGAGCTCAGGAGTTTGAGACTATCCTGGACAACATAGCATGACTCCATCTATACAAACATTTAAAAATTAGTGGAATATGGTGGCACACACCTATGATCCCAACTATTTGGGAGCTGAGATGGGAGGATCGCTTGAGCCTGGAAGGTCAAGGCTGCAGTGAGCCATGATTGTGCCACTGCACTTCAGCCTGGGCAACAGAACAAGCCCCATCTCATAAATAAATAAATGAATAAAATAATAAATAAATAAATAATACTTTGGGGGTTGTAAAAAGTTTGCCTAAAGAAATGACATTTAAGGTGAGACCTAAGGGCCGAACAGCAGTTAATCAATAAAGAAATTATAAGTGATGCAGAAAGAGGACACAGTAGCTGTAAGACAAGAGGCTGAGAAATAGCATGACATGTTTAAAAGCTTTAAAGGCATTCGGATTACTTAAAGCATGAAAGAGAATGATAAAGAGGAGAAACTGCCAGAAACCAGATAATGAAGGGCCTTTTAAACCAGCAAGGAATTAGAACTTCATTGTGAGGAAGAGTGGGGAACTCTCAAATTTTAACAGATGAATAATTGCTAGATTTTAATTTCTCAATGATGTTTCTATAATGTAGAGAAAGGATTGTGTTCAGATGAGGCAAGGATAATATTTATTTTGATTACTGAATTTTTTGATAATTGCTTAAATTTAGTGCTTGAGATGAGTGCCTCACTCAGTTCACCCTAATCTGGCCCTGGTTGAATTAACAAACCTTAGAATGGTTACATATGTTAAGTAAGGGAGAAGATAAGTCAAGGTTTAATGTAGTGTTCTGAACCTTGAGCAACTGGGTAGGCAGTGGGGTCATTAACTGAGATACTGAGGAAAAGCCAGTTTGGGGCAATGTTGATAAATTTAGTTTTGAACATGTTGCATTTTATATGTAGTTGGAATATTTAATTGGAGTTACCAAACAGTTATTTGGAAATACAGGATTAGAGCGTAGAAGAAATGTTTGCACTATAGATATAGATCTGGAGTCATTAGTATATGGGTAGCAATAAGCCATGAAATGAAGATAGATAACTAAAAGCTAGTAAGATAAGAGTAAGGTTAAAAAAAAAAGTGGGGTGGGAGGATAGGTTCAAACCTCAAGGAGTGCCAGGATTTAACAGATAGGCAAAGAGGAAAAGCCCACAAATAAGACTAAGAAGGAATGGCCAAAGTGGTAATAGTGCTATCTTGGATACCAAGAGGATTTCAAGAAGGGATTCATTCAGCGTGATAAATGTTACTGAGTGGGAGATTAAGAGAGGGGTGACAGATGTCTATTAAATATAGCAACAAGGAGGTCACTGGTATGATTATATCAGTTATGGTAGAATGGTGGAGGCTGAAGACTGATTGGAGGACACTGAGAAGTAAATGCTACAGGATTCCTTTGGTGCTGCTTTGTCAGCCAGAAATCTCTGTGGCCACTGCCGCCTCTGTTCGGGCCTTGTTCTGGCCCACTGGGCTTGCTCCACCTGCTCAGCCTGGTAGGCTGAACTTGGCGCCCACCTGCTCAGATCCTGTGCCTACTTCCATGCTGTGCCCAGCTCCATGCTCAGCCCATGACTGGACTAGGCATGCAGCGAGCAGCTTCTGTGTTGGGTGTGGCATCTAGACAAGGGGAACACGGTGGCACCCAAAAACTCAGAGATGCTAGCAATCGCAGAGCCCTAAGGGATGTTACATCTCCTGTTCAGGAATTCCCGAGGTCTGAGCCCCCAGAAATGTTACAACTATTCACTCCTGTCGTTCAACGAGCAGGAGCATGTTACAACTCTCTTTCTTCTGTAGTCTAGCGAGCAGGAGCGTGTTACGGCTCTTTTATTCTCGCTGCCCACAGCTTGGTGAGCTGACCAAGGGTGTCACAGCCCTTTCATTCCCACCACCCACAGTTCAGCAAGTTCCGAGTCCTTGTCCCATGACCAAGAGAAATGAGGTGTGTGGACACCAGAGAGTGAGTAAAGCAGAGAAGAGAAGAATTTTATTGAGTGGCAGAAGGAAAACTCTGAGCTCCTAGAAGGGACCCGAAGTGGGTAGCTGTCTGTGAGGCTTAGTGTGGGTTTTTTACGGGCTTTGAATGGGGGAGTGCATGCTGATTGGTCCATGGGTGGGTTTGGAAAAAGCACCACTTGATTGGTTAAAAGCCATCATCCAAAAGGAACCAATGGAGAGAGAGGGTAAGATGGAGATAGAAGTTCTCACTCAGGTCATGGACTCTATCAGGAACCGGCAACTCAGTTTTCAGGCTTCAAACTGTCTTTGGCTTGAAGGTCAGGTTTCACTGGGACCCGTCCATGTCTGCCTGGGAATTTATCTGCCTCTTGTCACTATCAGTAAGAAAGTGAAATAGTATTTATAGCTGGAAGGTGATATGGATTCAAGAAAGGATATTTAGCATGTTTGAATGTTATCAGGAATAATCCAGTGCAGAAAGAAGTTGAAGATACAAGATAAAGACAGTATAATCAGTATGAAAACACATATGAGCAAATTAGCTTTGGATAGGAGGAGGAATATCACCTTCACCTACCTGGAGGGAGGACAGGATGCGTGTGAATACAAGAATTAATAGATTTGGTGGCAGGAAATTGAAGGAGTTTCCATTCGAAGGTCCAGCCTCTTTCTAGGGTCATTCTTAGTTTCAGGAGCAGTTTATTCTCTACCCAAAATTTTCCTCTTTTTTAGGTACCTCCTTTTTTTTTTTTTTTTTTTGAGATGGAGTCTCGCTGTGTCACCAGACTGGAGTGCAGTGGCACAATCTCAGCTCACTGCAATCTCCGCCTCCCAGGTTCAAGTGATTCTCCTGCCTCAGCCTCCTAAGTAGCTGGGACTACAGGTGCCCACCACCACGCCCAGCTAATTTTTGTATTTTTAGCCGAGACAGGGTTTCACCATGTTGGCCAGGTTGGTCAGCTCGATCTCTTGACCTTGTCATCTGTCCGCCTCAGCCTCCCAAAGTGCTGGGATTACAAGTGTGAACCACTGCACCCAGCCTTCTAGGTACTTTTTTATCTGCCCACTTGACTCTCAGGATTAGCATTCCTCTACTGAACTATTTTTTCTATCAACCGTGAGAAGGGTGTTATAGATAAAGGATGCTATTTGGAGAAGCTTTGGGGAAATTGAGAGGATGAATGAGAAAAAGTGGTAGAGTGAATCTGACTGAGAGGAATGGAGATATTAAAAAGTGATGGGAGAGAAAAGTAAAGTGATCTCTGCATTCTGATGTGTAAGGATACTGGAAAATGCTACTGGTCCCTGAAAAAATCATCTTTAGCAGAGGATCTACTAGAGGGGCATCATGCTGAAGCTAGGAAATCTGTTAAGGAGGAAAGTGCATCTGGGAGGGAACCAAGATGGAGTTTTTCTATTGGGTTTAATTTAATGAAATTGAAAAAAAACCCACTGTTTTATAACTACAAAGGTAATACCAGCTCATTGTTAATTTGAAAAATTAAAGAAATGAAATCCCCTTAAATTAGCTGTGGAGATGTGGTTAAAGGACAGAGATATGGGCTGAAAGAAACAGAATGAGCTCAAGAACAGAAATTGTATAGAATATAAGTGTTTGTCAAAATGATGAATAGTGGTTACAGTATAGGGTACCTCAAAAAGATTGATGAAATATAAAGTGGGAAACAGCAGGTTGAGGTGAGCTCCTTTGAGGACAGGGACCTTGTTGTTTTCACCTGTGTTACCAGTAGTGTCTAAGAATTAGTGAGTGAGATGCATTATAAGGATTAAATACATAGATTTTTGAGTCAGTCAAGCCTCAGGTCAAAAGTCCAGTTCTGGTATTTTCTAGCAGTGTAACCTTGTATAGGGTGCTTAATTTCCTTAATATTCCTTCATGTATAAAATAGAGATAGCAGCACATATTTTGTCAAGCTAAATCAGTTACTGTATGTAAAATGCTTAACAAGGTACATGTGATAAACCTTCAAATAGATGGTAGGGCTAACAATAACTATCAGGATAACAGTGAATTTGAGAAAGTCAGGCCAGGAGTTTGGGTGAGTTAAGTATTAATAGATCCTGGAAAGAAACATTTGGCATCAGATTAAAGAAGGAAGAGACTAGGGAATGAGAAACTAGTTGGTGGCCATTTTAATAATCCAAAGTACAAGTTGTGAAGTCCTGAACAAGAGTGGTAGCAGTAGTAAAGTGAAAGAGGGGGCAAATAGGCAATACATTAAAGAAAGAAGACCAATAAAACTTGGTAACATTTCAGATATGGAGATGGAGAAAGAAGAGTAAGAAGTCACAGATGACTTCCACTTCTGTCATTACATGAAAGTCTCAATAGATCTCTTTCTTAACAACATACCATTTTATCTTCTCTTGGCTCCTGCAATTTTGATAACTCCAAAAGTCAGGAAATGTAAGTTAGTTCCCTCTTTATGAGATTTCCCAGCCACTCCCACAGTTCAGCAGCCTGCCCTTAGCACTGATATATTGAATGTGCTATTTAGGTTGGTGCAAAAGTTATTGAAGTTTTTGCCATTGAAAGTAATGGCAAAACCGCAATAACCTTTGCACCAACCTAATGAATGAGAAGCTAAGAAACTTGTTTGTGTATCAACTGCAGTTGTGTTTGCAATGGGAAGCAAAATATACAATAAACCACCCCCTGAAGGAAACATAGTGGCTCAAGTTTTCAAATGTATCTGGGTAAGTCCATAAATTGTTTTCTTGCCTTTTTCAATCAAAAGACAGAGATGCTATGCTGAGAATCTTGGCCTTCAAACATGGACATACATTTTTCTCAATAACCTCTGTTCTATTTCCATGTTTTTAACAAGCTGAGATTAACCAGTCTTCTTCTTATGGCTCTACTTAACCATTAAGTTTTAAAAAGGTAATCATCTTTTTAAATTGGCAAAAGTCTTCTGAAATGTAATTATGTATAGACAGATAACTTTTTTCTTTTTCGTTGTTATTTTTTGTTTTGAATGGCAAGTTCTTTCTTAAAGTGATAGATAAAATTATATCAGAAATATTCTGAAATTCAGTGCCTATAAAATTATATCAGAAATATTCTGAAATTCAGTGCCTGATTAGGTCAAAGAGTTGGAATAAGTCACGAAAAGTATGGTGTTTGAAGGAAGGTATAATAAGTTGGAAAAGGCAGAGGATGTTTTTCTGTTTGTCTCTCCCATGGTGTCTATGCTCTGCCCTAGTTTGCTATTTCCAATCGTTTCAAGAACCGTTCTGGAGACATTCCAAAGCGACAGCACTGGCTAGACTGGGCAGCTGAGAAATATCCAGTAAGTTGGAAATGCAGAAACATCTTATGGCTTGATACAGTCTTTCCTAATGTTCAGAATGATTCTATCCTACTGCATTCAACCTCCTCTCTACTGTTTTTTGGACACTTCTACTTTAAGCAAGAAAGCCACATACAGAACTTCTTGCATTTCTGCCTATTCTTCCTCCTTTTTGCAGAAGCAACTCATTATGGATGTGAAGGCACTGACCAGGGTACTATTCCTTTATATCCCATTGCCCATGTTCTGGGCTCTTTTGGATCAGCAGGTAAGAATAGTTCTTTTGGACATTACCCCTCCTTACAGCCACTTCCCTCTCACAGGAAAGGGATTTCTCATAATAGGATCTGTTTTTCCCAGGGTTCACGATGGACTTTGCAAGCCATCAGGATGAATGGGAATTTGGTGAGTAGAAGAGATTTTCCAGAGAAGTCTATTATTTTCTTCAACATCCATATTGGGGAAAAATTAATTTCTTTGTGGTTTTGCCTGAAAACTAATAAGATTTTCAGAGAAGTGCTTTTAGCCTGAAGGTACTGTGTAGGCAAAGATAAAGAAAGCTAGTTTAGAAATAAAAACCAGAATCTCGTCTTTAGAAATCAAAACCAGAATCTTCTCTTTAGAAATCAGGAACATAAAGATGAGAAAGTTTCAATGTATAGAAGGAAGTATTGAGAGGCTAGCAAATGAAGTCATACATACCTGGGATAGTGATTTTCTTCTGTCTAAGCCTATCGCAGGGCACAGCAGGGACAGGTTTGAGTGGCACTACTACACAATTAGTCTATCTCTTCAACAAGGATCACAGGCCAGGCGCGGTGGCTCAAGCCTGTAATCCCAGCACTTTGGGAGGCTGAGACGGGCGGATCACGAGGTCAGGAGATCGAGACCAGCCTGGCTAACACAGTGAAACCCCGTCTCTACTAAAAACAATACAAAAAACTAGCTGGGCGAGGTGGCGGGTGCCTGTAGTCCCAGCTACTCGGGAGGCTGAGGCAGGAGAATGTTGTAAACCCAGGAGGCGGAGCTTGCAGTGAGCTGAGATCCGGCCACTGCACTCCAGCCTGGGCAACAGAGTGAGACTCCGTCTCAAACAAAACAAAACAAAACAAAAAAACAAGGATCACAGCAGAGGACCTGTAGGAAATGGAATATTTTATATATATGGATATGGAAAGAATGAGAAGGTTATACATATTATTTTCTCTTTTTCCAAACTCCATTCTTTAGCCCACTCAAATAAGGTACCACCTCTGCTCCCAATTGTTCTTTTCCCAGATTAGTATATTATTTTTCTATCTTCTCAGTTTTCAAAAGGACAGAGTAGAATGATACCAGGGTCTTATTAGTCAGTCTATTTGGAGCCTGCAAAATATAATTTTACCTTTTCCCTTCCTCTGGTTGTCTCTTATTTACCATGGTGGTTTTCTTGTTGGCCCTCTGGAGAACAACTTCAGAAACACTATATGTCAGGGAGAGTCTTCACCCTAACCATGATGTCTTGTCCTTCATATTATTGCAACCTAAAACTACAGTTGCTGAGATTAATAAAAATGCACTGACTCTATTTCCTTTCAAGTTAAGGAAAGCATAATACATAGAAAAGAATTTCTCCCTTAGGCCCATCTGCCTGGCAAACATAGCCAGAAGCTTTCCCAAGTCTGTTCCCATCCCCCAAATAATCTTAACAGCAAAATAGTGGCCCTGAACCAAAGACCTGATGAATTTTCTCTCATATGCTTCTCACTTGCTAACTAGCAAAATTATTGATCTAGGCCAACAATTTTTTTTCTTGTCTTCAGATATCATCTAAATATAATTTGTTATAATGTTTCAGGGTTTTTTTGTGCTTCAGCCGGACCAGATGCAGGTATGGGACTCTTCTATAGCCATGGAGACTTATTTGTTTCCTTATCTATGCCTCCACCTGCAGTATTAGGATTAACAACCATAATTTGATGCTTTTCTCTTTGTACACTGATAAGGGCCAAGCTTTGACATGAAAACATTCTCTTTAAGCCCCACACTTCTCCTTCAATCCCCTGTTAAGTACTTAATTTGCCACAGGTAAAGTATAAGCATTGGATTTTTTTCCTTGTCAAGATAGTATAATGAAAATGTTATAAAAGAAATTGTAAGGCTTGTTTTGTGAGCAATGAAGTCATGAGAGGAAAGAGCTCACAATAAGGCTGGCAGAAAGACAGGCTCAGAGTGAAACTTGTCCCTTGGGATATTTGAAAGCTAAAATGCTATGCAAGGGAAATAGGGTCTTGGGTGTAAATGGACTGAGGAACGTGGAATCATTCTGTACTTACAATGACAAAAGTGTGTGTTGATGTGAGACAGAGTGTACACAAGCAAATGAGTGCAGTACTCACACTCATGAAAGGAGAACATTTGTAGCTAATCCTTTTTATTATGGTGTTACAGGTTCTAAATCCCCTTCTGGTTCTTATCTTCATCCCATTGTTTGACTTTGTCATTTATCGTCTGGTCTCCAAGTGTGGAATTAACTTCTCGTAAGTGTTCACTGTGCCTGTATGGATTACTCTAAATTGACTCAATCTTTCCCCAGTTTGATAAATATTCAATGTCAGTATTTTTCTTAGTGATGATTGGTTTTGGTTTATCATCTATCTGCTTCTATTTTTCCATGTTGGACTAACTGCCTATTGACCCTGAAAAATGGGAATTAGATCTAATTAATGAGAGTCAAAGCCATTACTGTGGATTTAACTGTGTGATATTGAAGGGGCAGGTCTAGGTTTCATGCCAAACCAAAAATATGTGAAATTTAGCTCCTAAATCAACTTTCTTCTTTGTTCTTGAATGTTGTCTCTTCAAAGAAACTCAAGGCCTTTGATGACTACTAATCCCTTTAAATCTCCTGTTGTCCCTATGAAACAAATGGGGAACCTAGTGGGACTGGGAACTGAATTGTTCCCAATTACTGCCTGAAATTTTTTCTACATAGAAGGATTAGTCTTTTTTAGAGTTTCACAAAAGAAAGTTTCAAGCCTTCTTTCATTCTTGATTTAATAGCAATTTCATTTTGATGACCACTTTACCAAATGAAAATGGCCCTTTTTCATCTGTTCATTGAGCAGATGTCGGGAAGTTTAGGACCAAGTGTCATGAAAATATATATCAAGAAAAAACCATTTCCCTCAAAGAGTTTATTACTTAGTAAGGGGGCTAGAGCATATATATATATATACACACACACACACACACATATATAAAAAATGCAACTACTACACAGGCAAAATAAGTGTCCTAAGAAGAGCCTAAGATCAAGTGCCAAGGAGATGTAGAAAAGAAAATGTCCTTCCCCTGCCAAGGTCAACAGATTTCTGCAGAGGAAAGTGACGTAAATCATGTACAGCACCTGGCATATGGTATTTGTTCAATAAACCTTGTTGTATTGCCATTATTTTTGGTATTATGACATAGTGAATAGAAAAACCATCATAAGCAAAGATGGAGGTGAGTAAATGTGGTATATCACAGAGAAGAGCAGTTCAATGTGACTCAGGAAAAAGAATAAAGAAGAATGTATGAAGAGGAGTTCTAGAAAATACCTTGAAAAGTAATTGGTCATGGAAACGTGGATTTAAAAAAGAAAAGTAATTGGGATCAAATCAGGAAAAGTCTTTGATACAGTTTGAATATTTGTACCCACCCAAATCTCATGTTGAAATGTAATCCCCAATGTTGGATGTTGGAGGGGGTGTCTAGTGGGAGGTGGTTGGATCATGTGGATGAATTCCTCATGAATGGTTTAGGGCTACCCCGTTGGTGCTGTCCTCATGATAGTGAGTTCTCGTGATATCTGACCATTTAAAAGTGTGCAGTATCTCCCTACCCTTCATTTGCTCCTGCTTTCATCATGTGACATGCCTGTTTCCCCAGAGGGTACAAGCCATAAACCTTGATGGCTTCTACATGGTGTTAAGCCTGCAGGCATACAGAGTGCAAGAATGAAGAATGCTTGGCACCCTTCACCTAGATTTCAGAGGCTGTATGAGAAAGCGTGGGTGTTCACACAGAAACCTGCTGCAGGGGTGGAGCCCCCAGAGAGCACCTCTACTAGGGCAGTGTGGAGGTAAAATGTGGGGTTGGAACCCCTACAGAGTCCCCACAAGGGCACTGCCTAGTGGACCTGTGAGAAGGGGGCCACCATCCTCCAGACCCCAGAATGATAGACCCACTGGCAGCTTGCACCCTGGGCCTGGAAAACCACAGACACTCAACAACCTGTGAGTGCAGCCACAGGGGCTGAACTCTGCAAAACCACAGGGGAGGAGCTATCCAAGGCCTTGGGAGCCCACCCCTTGTACCGGTGTGCCCTGAATGTGGGACGTGGAGTCAAAGGAGATTATTCTGGAACTTTAAGATTTAATAACTGCCTTGCTGGATTCAGACTTGCCTGGGGCCTGTAGCCCCTTTGTTTTGGCCACTTTCTCCCTTTTGGGATGGAAATGTTTACCCAGTGCCTATACCACCATTTTATTTGGGGAGTAAATAAGTTGATTTTACAGGCTCGTAGGTGGAAGGGACTTGCCTTATTTCAAATGAGACTTTGGACTTGGGACTTTTGATTGAGTTTGTGCTGGAATGAGTTAAAACTTTGGGGGAAAATTGGGAAGGCATAATTGTATTTTGCAATGTGAGAAGGACATGAGATTTTAGGGGTCTAGAGATGGAATGATATAGTTTGGATATTTGTCCCTGCCAAAATCTCATGTTGAAATGTAATTCCCAATGATAAAGGTGGGGCCTGGTGGGACATGATTGGATCATGGGAGTGAATTCTCATGAAGGGTTTAGCACCATTCCGTGGTGCTATCCTCATGATAGTGAATGAGTTCTCACAAGATCTGGTAATTTAAAAGTGTGTGGCACCTCCCGCCTCCTCGCTTGCTTCTGCTTTCACCATGTGACATGCCTATTCCACCTTTGGCTTCTCCCATGATTGAAAGCTCCTTGAGGCTTCACCAGAAGCTGGGAAGATGCCAACACTCTGCTTCCTGTAATGCTGCAGAACCATAAGCCAATTAAACTTCTTTTCTTTATAAATTACCCAATCTCAGGTATTTCTTTATAGAAATGCAAGAACAGCCTAATGCAGTCTTTAATAATAGGCTACAGAGTTTGGATTTCATTCTTAAGAGTCTAAAGTTTAAATGTAATTGTTTCTCCTTTCCACCACAGATCACTTAGGAAAATGGCTGTTGGTATGATCCTAGCATGCCTGGCATTTGCAGTTGCGGCAGCTGTAGAGATCAAAATAAATGTGAGTTCAGTAATTCTGCCCTCCATGAGGGCAGGATCATATCTTTCTTATTTGCTCTTTTTGACTTGTTCGATCATGATTCCCTGGGATCTAGCACAGTACCTTTTTTATAAGAGGTGTATCATAAGTATTTGTTATAAATAAGTAGATAGAGCGGTAAAACAGCAATGCAAAATGAGGCCCACCTCCCACCTGAGTGACTTAGAATGTATTTTCAGGGAATTCTCAAACACTAATATCCAAGATAGCCATCTCCTTAGGGAATACAGGCTTATGTGATGCCTTTCTAGATACTCAAGTAAAAACCTTTTGGCAGATTGAATAGCCACTATTATGGATGAGGCCATAGCTGATTCAAAAGGCATGGAGTTTGTGAGCTGGCATTGGTACTTGCTACATTGAACTGATGTTTCCCTCTCCAAACTGCCTTTAGAGTTTTCTAAGCCAAATATTTTTCAAAGGGAGAAAACTATATCTACTTGGCTAGTGGACTAGACTGTCAGAAACAACTGAGATATGTGTTGTCATTGTATCTGAAGGATTATTTGTTGGTGATTCTGACATGTATTCTTTGTTCTAAGGAAATGACCCCAGCCCAGCCAGGTCCCCAGGAGGTTTTCCTACAAGTCTTGAATCTGGCAGATGATGAGGTGAAAGTGACAGTGGTAGGAAATGAAAACAATTCTCTGTTGATAGAGTCCATCAAATCCTTTCAGGTGAGGTGTGTACCTGAATGAATTAGAAACTCTGTATGCTATATTGATCTTGATTTTTTCTTAACATTAATTGTATCATAAGCATCTTCCCATGTCTTTAGATAATCTTTGAGCACATGATTTTAATGGGCATATAATATTCCATTCTATAGATATACCATAGTTTATTTAAACATTTCCACATAGGTATTCAGTTTTTATTATTATACATAATCCTATAATGAACATTCTTATTCATAAATATTTATGCATATCTCTGATTATTTCTTAGGGTAGATTCCAAGAAATAAAATGACTTGGTTAAAGAAAGGAATTACTAGGTTGAAAATGTTTGATGAGGTCACCTACTCTGAGATGCTACAATATTGTAATGTCCAATATGGAGTAGAAGGTGTATGTGACCTTTAATTTATGTTCTTCATTTTACAGAAAACACCACAGTATTCCAAACTGCACCTGAAAACAAAAAGCCAGAATTTTCACTTCCACCTGAAATATCACAATTTGTCTCTCTACACTGAGCATTCTGTGCAGGAGAAGAACTGGTACAGTCTTGTCATTCGTGAAGATGGGAACAGTATCTCCAGCATGATGGTAAGTTGAGGGATTGCCTGTGTTTTAAATTGTCATCTCAAAGTAATATGACTGTCTTATCAACGCTTACCAAGGATCTGCCTGATGATCAAATTTTCTGAGTATAGGTCTTATTTCATCAGCTGTTACTGATTTTTACTTTCCTCTGTTGTAGGTAAAGGACACAGAAAGCAAAACAACCAATGGGATGACAACCGTGAGGTTTGAATGTCAAAGAGATTCCAAGCCACTCTATTTTCTTGAATCTTGGATCTCTTCTCATCTTTGGGGCTTCATTCTACTTGTTCTGAACAGGAATTCCCTCTCCTAGAGTGCCAGGGGCACTGGTGTCAAAAGGCATTTTCTAGGACAATGAGAAGCAGATAGGCTTCTTTTCTCATGTGGGATTCAAAGATGACCCTATCTGTGTATGCCCCCTGTACTCTGGGGCATAAATTCTTTCTGCTGAATTTTATCTGTTTATCTTGCTTTCAGGAAAATAACTGAGTACTTTTCTCTTTGTGATCGTCAGAGATAAATTTGGAAGTGAGAAAATAATCCTCCCTTCCTTTTTGATAGTTGAATATATATCTCTTAAAGTATAGTTTTTATTATAAGCCTAAAGAGGCATCATGGTATAATACACATTTGGAGTCAAAAGACTTAGTTTTGAATCCAGATAAGGCTGAAGGGTGTTGTCAAACGGTGAGGGACAGTTACAGAGATGGAGTACCCAAGAGGACATGTGTTCTCTGTGGCCGGTATTAGACATGAAATGGACAGATACACAGGTCTATGGCCACCAAAGTCAAGTGGTTGCTGTTGAGAATAGCATTTTACAGGAGAACTTTTAGTGAAAAGTCTGGATTTCACTGAAGGGTAGGACAGTCATAATAACTTGCTTTTGAATATGCTTCAAAAAAAGTAAACAGCTCAAAATAAGACAAATGGACCTCCAGAGGGGCATTTTCTACGTCAGTGTAGAATGATCTAAAGTCTAGGAATCAACATTCAGGACTCTAGAGGGAACTGTCCTTCTTATTCCTGGGGCCAGAGACCAAATCAAAAGCTATCAAAACAGAAATGTACCAAAAACCCATCCTGAGAGGACAATCTAGGTGCCAGGTTCAGAAAAACAGAAAGATAGTTCTGGAAGGGTCCAAAGTTTCTGCAGACTCCAAAACAATTATAGCAACCTACTCTGGGCTGGAAGTCTGAGTTTTGCATAAGTCACATTGGGCTTAATTTATAGGAGGTTAAGATACGAGTTTTATGTAAATACTATCATTTCTTTATGCATAATTATCTTATTTTTCTTAGTAAAGTCTCAGTTGATACATTCCACCATTATAAGGGAAATAAATTAGATAGACCTAAGTTGGATTAGTGAGGAAACTCAGATTGCCATGAATGATCATGATAGTGTCCATCTAGCTAGAGGTCTGGTGAGGATGTGAGAGATAAAAGTACAAGAAAAAGAAAGTTAGGGACAGCTAAGACTATGGATTACTTTTTACATATGGGATCATTCATTTGTCTAGTTAACAATATACATTATGTACCTTTTATGTGCCAGCCACTATTCTAGGCACTTAGGCACTGGGGATATAGTTATACCCAAAACATAAAAGGTCCCTACCCTCTTTAATCAGGTGTTCCTGTTTGTTTGATATGTAAATAATATCTCTGCCCTCAGGTTTGTTAACACTTTGCATAAAGGTGTCAATATCTCCCTGAGTAAAGATACCTCTCTCAATGTTGGTGAAGACTATGGTGTGTCTGCTTATAGAACGGTGCAAAGAGGAGAGTAAGTGCATTGCCCCTGTGGACATTTTACTTTTGTCAATAATTGTTTTTTGAGTGCTATCTTTGTATATAGGTGGGGAATTTAGGTGCATGTGGGCTAATTTTGTTTTTGTTTTTGTTTTTGTTTTTTGAGACGGAGTCTCACTCTGTCGCTCAGGCTGGGATGCAGTGGCGCAATCTCCACTCATTGCAAGCTCCGCCTCCCGGGTTCATGCCATTCTCCTGCCTCAGCCTCCCGTGTAGCTGGGACTACAGGCGCCCACCATCGCGTCCGGCTAATTTTTGTATTTTTAGTAGAGATGGGGTTTCACCGTGTTAGCCAGGATGGTCTCGATCTCCTGACCTCGTGATCCGCCCGTCTCGGCCTCCCAAAGTGCTGGGATTACAGGCGTGAGCCATCACGCCCGGCCTGCATGTGGGCTAATTTTGAGTGTAGAAGCACTCCTGATCTTTTCCAACTCTTGCTTCCTTCCCTCAGTCTCACTTTTTTTCTGCACAGATATGTTGAGATCACGATTGCTGTGAAGACCACACTATATAGTTAACACAGCCCATCTCTGTATAGTTAACACAGTCCATCTCTGTGAGTTTCTCAAAGTTTATTATTGGTTTCCATTTCTACTGAAGAATGTACTTTGGTACCTTGAATTGGCACTTCATTACTTAGAGCTTATCTTCTCAGGTTCACTGTTATAGCCTGTTCTACTAGGTCATAAGATTTGCATGAGGAAAGTTCACATGGTACTTAAGTTCACAAAAGAATATGATTTGTAACTACTTTATTTAGGTTGAATATTTTAGAAAATACCTGACAGGCAATAAAGAGCTCAAATCAGGGACAGAAGCCTGGCATGAAAATAACCCACTCCAAGAAACATTTCTCTTCAAAGATAATTAGTAGCTTCACTGCTTTCCTCACCATCAGTAGAGAGATGAGATCATTTTCACCTGGAGATGTGAATGCTTTTCTAAGCCGTGATATTTATTCTAACCTAAATTCATCCTGTTCCAGATACCCTGCAGTGCATTGTAGAACAGAAGATAAGAACTTTTCTCTGAATTTGGGTCTACTAGACTTTGGTGCAGCATATCTGTTTGTTATTACTAATGTAAGTAGCTCACAGCCACCTCCTCACCCTCTCTCCATATATATATCCTGGGATCCTCTAGGCAGAAAACAAAAGAGAAGACTCTGTGGCAAAGCAGACACATATATTTATTTCTAGTGTAAGATGACAGGTTCTGCAGTGACTTTATTTATTTTTATTTTTATTTTTTTTAGACGGAGTTTCACTCTCGTCGCCCAGGCTGGCGTGCAGTGGCATGATCTCGGCTCACTACAACCTCTGCCTCCTGGGTTCAAGCGATTCTCCTGCCTCAGCCTCCCGAGTAGCTGGGATTACAGGCACCCACGACCACGCCCAGCTAATTTTTGTATTTTTAGTAGAGATGGGGTTTTGCCATGTTGGCCAGACTGGTCTCGAACTCCTGACCTCAGGTAATCCACCTGCCTCAGCCTCCCAAAGTGCTGGGATTGCAAGCATGAGTCACCGCACCTGGCTCTACATGACTTTAGAAAGCCCACTGTCTCTGTAGGGGATGTTGAGAGATAACATCAACAACAAGCAAAGGGTCTTGGGGAAGGAGAGACATAATTTATCTTGAGCCATCACTGTGAGATGCCACGGCCTGCTCCAGTCTCATTATGTCTCCAAGCAAACAACAGTGATTTATGAAAAAGTATTCATGTCTTCTTGACCAGCTTCATATGCAGATCTTCTCACTCTCTGGAAATTTGATCTGCTAACATGTCACAGTCTGAAATGCTGAAACTGATAGTAATGTCAATCTCTACACAAAGTTTGGGGATCAGTTAATTGTGGTCTGTCAAAAACAGTTGTCCTAGCAGTCAGGGCAGGGTACCTCTGATTTTAATTTTGATGTCAATCTTGACTTTAATTTTGTTATTTCATTACTATTCACACTGTATTAAAGACTAAAAGATAGTGAATAAGAAAAAGAGAGAACATTTCTGGAGGTTTGATGAGAACCCGATCTATAAAGTTCTATTTATTTTACTAATTAATTAATTTAATTAACTTGATCCCTTTGGTGTGCCATTTTTATAACAGTTTTATTGAGATATAATTCATATACCATAAAATTCACCCATTAAAGTATCCAATGATTTTAAATATGTTAGTATAGTCAATATATGTTAATAAGTATTCATTATATAGAAGGAATATATATCCAATAATATATATTCAATGGTTTTTACTATATTCACAGATTTGTGCCATTTAGGAACACTTTTTGTCACCCCTCTCAAAAAATAACGTACCCATTAGCAGCCATTCCCCATTTCCTCTTAAACCACTAGTCTACTTTGTCTATAAATTCTTCTATTCTGGACATGTCATGTAAATGGAATCATACAATATGTGCTATTTTGTGTCTGGCTTCTTTCACTTAGCATGTTTTTCAAGGCTCTTCTATGTTGTAGCATGTATCAGTGTTTCATTTCTTTTTATTGACGGGTAATATTCCATTGCATGGATATAATACATTTTATTTATTTATCAATTGATGTACATTTGAATTGTTTCTACCTTTTGACTCTTGGGAATAATGCTGTTATGAACATTCATGTACAAGTTTTTATGTGGACATATGTTTTCATTTCTTTTGGATAGGTAACTAGCAGTGGAATTGCTGGCTCACATGGTGACTCTATGTTTAACCATTTGTGGACTTTTCCAAAGTGACTGCACTGTTTACATTTCCACCAATCACGTGTATGAGTTGCAGTTTTTCTACATCTTCACCAACACTTGTTTTCTGTCTTTTTATTATAGCCACTCTAGTGTGGATGTGAAATGGCATCTCATTGTGGTTTTCATTGCCATTCCCCTGATGGCTAAAGATTTGGAGCATTTTTTCTTGTCTTTATCAGTCATTTGTGTATTTTCTTTGAAGAAGTATCTCTGTAGATCCTCTGCCTAATTTCTAATTGGGGTATTTGTATTTTTTATTAGTTGTAAGCATTCGTTATATATTTTTAGATATATCTGTTATCATATATAATTTGCAAAATCTCACATTCAATAGGTTGTCTTTTAACTTTCTTGATGGTATCTGTTGAAGTAGAAAAATTTTTAATTATGATGAAGTTCAATTTATTTTTTCTTAGGTTGATTGTGTGTTTGATGCCATACCTAATCCAAAGAATCTGTGCCTATGTTTTCTTCTAAGAGTTTTATAGTTAATTCATTTTGAGATAAATTTTGCATATGGTATAAGGTAGGTGGTCCAGTCTCATTCTTTTGTATGTGTATATCTAGTTGTCCCAGGGCAATTTCTGGAAAAGACTATTCTTCCCATATTAAATGGTCTTGACATTTGTGTCAAAATTCAATTGATCATAAATGTAAGGCCATTTTTCTGGACTCTCAATTCCATTCCATTGATCTGTATGTTTATCCTTGTGCCAGTACCATACTGTCTTAATTACTGTTGCTTTACAGTAAGATTTGAATTCAGAGAGTATAAGTCTCCAGCCTTCTTCTTTTTTAAGATTGGTCTGCCCATTGTGGGTCCCATGAATTTTCATATGAATTTTAGGATCATTGTAAGATCAGAAGCCAGCTGGGATTTTGATAGGGATTTCACTGAGTCTGAAGATCATTTTAGGGAATAGTATTGCCATATTAACAATATTAAGTCTTCTGGTCAGTGAACATGAGATGTCTTTCTATTTATTTAGGTTGTCTTTAATTTTTTTCAACAATTTTTTGTAGTTTATTTTATTTAGACATGAGGTCTCATTCTGTGGCCCAGGCTGGAGCACAGTGGCACCATCATAGCTCACTGTTGCCTTGAACTCCTGGGCTCAAATGACACTCCTGCCTCAGCCTCCTGAGTACAGGCATGTACCACTGCTCCTGGTTAATTTTTTATTTTTTTGTAGAGATTGGGGTCTTGCTATGTTGACCATGCTGATCTCAAACTCCTGGCCTCAAGCAATCCTCCTGCCTTGGCTTTCCAAAGTGCTAGGATTACAGGTGTGAGCCGTCATGCCCAGACTAAGGTTCCTTTTTAGAGACAGGGTCTTGCTATGTTGCCCAGGCTGGTCTCTAACTTCTGGCCTCAAGTGATCCTCTCTCCTCATTCTCCTGAGTAGCTGAGATTATAGGCATGAACCGCTATGCACAGAACAAGTTATTTTCAGAGTATACATTTTACATTTATTTTGTTAAATTTATTCCTACTTACTTTATTCGTTTTGAAGCTGTGGTTAATGGAATCCTTTTCTTAATTTCATTTTCAAATTTTTCATTGCAAATTACAGAAATACAGTTGACTTTTGTATATTGATTTTGCACTGTGCAATCTTGCTGAACTTATTTATTAGTGCTAATGGGTTTTTTTAGTGGATCCCTTAGGCTTTCTACATAAAAGATCCTATCATCAGCAAATAGAGATAGCTTTACTTTCTCATTTTCAATCTGGATGCTTTTTATTTCTTTTCCTTGTCAGTTGCTCTGGCAGGAACCTCTAGTACAATATTGAATAGAAGTGGTGAAAGCAGAAATACTTTTAGGGGGAGAGCATTCAGTCTTTTATCATTAAGTGTGTAACCTGTGGATTTTTCATAGATACTCTGTCAGACTGAGAAAGTTCCTTTCTATTCCTAGTTTGTTGGAGAGTTTTCTGTTTGTTTGTTTTACCATGAACAGGAGTTGAATTTTATAAATGCTTTTCCTGCATTTATTGAGATGGTAATGTGTTTTGTCCCTTATTTTACTGATATAGTGTATCACAACAATTGATTTTCAGATATTAAACCAACTTAATTCTATTAACCTCCTCCTCCACCTTCTTCTCCTCCTCCTTCTTTCTTCTTCTCTTTTAGAAATAGGGTCTCGCCCTGTTGCCCATGATGAAGTGCAGTGCTGCAATCATAGTTCACCATAGCCTGAAACTCCTGGGCTCAAGTGATCCTTCTGTCTCAGCCTTTCAAGTAGCTGGGACTACAGACATGTCCTACCCTGATGAATTAATTTAAAAAAAAAATTTTTTTTTTTAAAGAGAAGAGGTCTCACTATGTTGACCAAGCTGGTCTCTAACTCCTGGACTCAAGCGATTCTTCTACCTCAACCTCAATCCAAGTGCTTGGATTACAGGCATTAACCACTGCGCCTGGCTATAATTCTATTAATTTTCTAGGGCTGCTGTAACAAAGCACTACAAGCTAAGTGGCTTATGGGATAGAAATGCATTGTCTCACAATTATGGTGGCTAGAAGTCTGAGATGAAGGTATTGGTAGGACTGGTTCCTTCTGAGGGCTGTGAATAATCTGTTCCATGCTTCTGCCATGGCTTCTGGCAATTTGCTGGAAATATGTGGTATTCCTTGGTGTATAGAAGAATCATCCTAATATCTACCTTCATCTTCACATGGTGTTCTTTCTATGTATCCGACTGTGTCCAAATTCACCCCCGTTTTAATAAGGATACCTGTCATTGGATTAGACCCACCCTAATGACCTTATTTCAACATTACTAATTACATATATAACAAACCTGTTTCCCAATAAGTTTATATTCTGAGGTATCTGGTTTTAGGACTTCAACATATGAGTTTTGGGGGACATGATTCAGCCATAATGCTTGTGTTCCTGGTGTTATTCCATTTTCTGTTTCTTCTGTCTCTCATATGCCACTCAAGATAGAGGCCATATGTATTGTTTCTGAATACCAGGATCTAATAAGCATCTACAGTAGAGGCCATAAATTGTGGGTCTGGAGGCCCAATTTCTTTCATAGTCCTGTCTTGTTTGGCCTGCACAGTATTGACAAAAATAACAAAAGAATTAATTGCCAATAAATTCAAGAGATTACACCTAAGAAGTTGTATTACTAACATTTCTTGGGAATAAAAAAATCAGAAGATTTCGTAACAGCTATTATTGTGTCAACTGTCTGGTGCTGTAGTGGCTGTGCCCTTTAGATGGGACCTGTGCTGTCCAGTTCATGATAGGCCTCATCATTTCCTTGCAGCCTCTTTCATTTACTTAATTACCTGCCTATGAGCATGTAAGTATCTGACTTTGATTTAGAAGCTCTGGCCATAGTCTCTTCTTATGCTGAGAAAACACAAACAGATGCCTAGGTATTATTTACACTGTCAACTAAAGGAAAAGAAGATTCCCTTATCTTACTATTTTAGACCCAATGACCATTTGATTCAGAGGATTAAGGGCATTTAGATGTCAAAGACTTTTCATCTGAAAGACTTTTGACCATGATATTTTAACTATGCTGTTTTGTCTCATGTATCTGGATATTATACCTAATTCCTGATAACAGTTTTACTTCAAGAAATATATTCATATGGTTAGGCTTTGTGTCCCCACCCAAATCTCATCTTGAATTATAATCCCCATAATCCCCACATGTCTAGGGAGAGACTTGGTGGGAGGTGATTGGATCTTGGAGGCGCTTTCCCCAATCCTGTTCTTATGATAGTGAGCGACTTCTTATGAGATATGATGGTTTTATAAGGAGCTCTTCCCCCTTTGCTCCTCACTCTTCTCTCTCCTGCCACCATATGAGAAGGTCCAAGCTTCCTTCCCCTTCACCTTCTGCCACGATTGTAGGTTTCCTGAGGCCTCCCCAGTCATGTGGAATTGTGCGTCAATTAAACCTCTTTCCTTTATAAATTACCCAGCATTGGGCAGTACTTTACAGCAGTGTGAAAAAGGACTAATACATATATATAATTTTTTCTTCTGTTTTCTTTTTGAGTCCCTTCAATAAATATACATATAATTTTCAAAATGTTATTTCATTTGTAATAAAAGATATTAGTAGATATAATCTACATAAAACCAACCATAGCTAAAAACATAAATATAGTTAAAGTACTTTTACACCAAAGAAACAAAAGTTGATTGTGGAATCACATATATTTGGTAATATTAACAAAAACTTCACCCTGAAAAAAATCTCTTTTGAACCAAAATTTTACAGAAAAAATACATCTTTTTTTTTATTATTATACTTTATGTTCTAGGGTACATGTGCACAACATGCAGGTTTGTTACATATGTATACATGTGCTGTGTTGGTGTGCTGCACCCATTAACTAGTCATTTACATTAGGTATATCTCCCAATGCCATGGTTGTAGATGTGTGGATCATACGAGGGCTCTGTTCTTACCATGGTCTATATCACTGTTAGGTACCAGGTATCATGCCTGTTTTGTTACTGTAGCTTTGTATATAGTTGAATTCAGTTACGTGATACCTCCAGCTTGTTCTTTTGACTTAGAGTCTTGCAATGCAGGATCTTTTGGTCCATAGAACTTAAAGTATTGTTCCAATTCTGTGGAAGATTTGCTTATGTTAAGAAGTCATGTAGTATGGGATGGCATTG